TAAACCATTGAAAAACGAAGTGTAAGAAAAATGAATCGCTTTTCCGATTTTCATTCATTTCCGTGCCACTGATATTGAATATGTTTGAAGAAAAGCGCAAGATTCACACATAAGGTGGCATATTTTATTGGATTCTGTTTGAATTTTGATTAGAATAAACGAATATCGATTTCACCTTTTTAATAGAAGAATAACTGTTTCAATTTACTTAAAACAAAATTCATCGACCGAAAATTCATTACGATTTTTCAAATTTTTTTATCGTGTAACGACGCTAGCAAAAAAAATAAATTGTAACAAATTTGAAAACAAATTTTCTTCTCAGTTCTAATTTGGTTAGTTGGTTGTGCAGACCAAGATTTAAAATATCGAGACTCTCTTATCTTCTCTATGGCGGAAAGTCCAAATATAATGTAAATTACGACTTTAATTTCCACTTTCGATTGAATTGGTTGAAATTGGGGTGATTTTGAAAAAAAGGATATCTTAGTAGAAATGTCATGCAGTATTACAAATGTATCATTTCTTTTTAAGTTAAAGTAGCAGTATATATTTTTCAAGAACAGAAAATTTAAGCAATGCCCAAAATAAATGATTTTGAAAAATATTCCAAATTGGCAAGGTCGTTAACAGAGAATGAGAATTAAAAAAGTATCGTTTATTGTAAAGCTCATTTATTTTAAGCAGACATTATATTGAGATATTTTCAGCCAGATGAATCAGCTCGGGCAGATATCGTTACGAGATGAAATGGAGTGAAAACAATAATAGTGATTGTAGTAATGTAAGTGTAATTATAACAATCACTTCTATTGTTTTCACTCAATTTCACCTCCTGGCGATATCTGGCAGAGCTGATTCATCTGGCTGAAAATATCACAATGAAATGTGTGATTTTACGAAACGGAATGAAATCCGATAGAATATATAAATGAAAATGCTTACCCTCCAAATTTGCTGAATATATTTGATGTTCTCTCTTTTAATCCACTGATTACTTCCATTTTCATTCAAGTGCAGATTGTGACTTATTCCAACGCAGATTGATTTTTTTAAACTTTTTTTAAAAAAAAACTAAACTCAATGTTTTACTATGTATTGAGTTTGGTTTGAATTGATTACAGCAGCATTTTAAGTTATTGATATGATTTCTTTTTTAATAAAATATTTTCGAAATTATATTGAATAAAGTGTATCTATTATTGCACAAGAATTTAAAATATATTTCTTTTTTGTTTCTTTTGAAAGAATCACTTGAAGTTGTTTTAAAATTAAAAAAAATTATTGCTTTAATTATTTAATATATATAATATTTGTCAAATTTTTAAATGTTTCACTATTTATGGTCGATGTTGATCAACAAAATTGAATAAAACGAAAACAATTTTTCTTTTTTGTTAACAAAAATTCGATGAATATTTCTATTATTAGTTGATGAGTTCACGGAAATAGAGTGTGTGTGTGTTTGAGAGATAGAAAAAAAATGATTAAATGAATATTAGCTAGAAATTTGGGTTCGGTGATGCTGCTGCTGCTCTATGAATGGCCTGTTCTATGGTCTTGATCGAAGCAGACAGCGTGATCTTGATTCTTGTCTTCCCAGCTAAACTCTGTTGTAGCTCGTTGTGTGGGCAAAAGCCACCGAATCGAGTCTTTCGTCTAGCTCACACTCAGACACTCACACTCGTTGAACACAACAATATACCCGTTGAAAATATATTCGTTTGAGAGCGACACCACTAAGAGTTGAACTGTTCGACGGTCGATTTACGTCTGCTGTAGATACTTCATGTGTCTCTTTCCAGCTCGCATCCATATCGCGTATTTGTATTGTAAACGTAACGAGAGCAAAGAATGCTCCTCATTTCACCCTCTCACTTGTGAACACCATGCGATTGGCGCAATCGCAACATTCACAAACATGCATGCACACACACACACAAACACACGCTGTAATCGCTGTGCAAAATGTGTCGTGTGTGCTGGAATTTTTTTGGGTGGAAACAAAATTTTGCTACAAGTATCCTTGTTCAATGTCTTGCTACGTTGATGTGGAGGTGGAGCTGATTCTACATTGAATATATTTAGCTGCTGCATGGAAAAGAAGAAATATTTTGTAGCAAATTCTACGTTCGTTGCTGTGCGCTTGTACGATTTAACAATAATTGAAAGAGAAAATTCCAGGGATTTTGCATTCACTTTATACTAATTAAAAGGCAATTTTTTTCTCTCTGTCATTATTCACTTTCTGACAACAAAACTTTGCAATAGTGATGCGATAAAAATGAACGGAACTTTGATGGTAAAATCGCATAATTGAAAAATAAAGTCAATTGATTTTCAATGACTCCATTTTCTACAGTAAATAATTAAATATATATATTTTTTTAGCAGTAATGTTTTCATGCGATACCGCATCGTACAAGAGTTGTTAAGCACTCAATCAAAATTTAATAAACCACGTTTCTTGTAGCGCAAGTGGTGAAAGGCATAGTAACGACTTTCATATTTGACAACGACAAAATTGACCATCTCATGTAATTTACGCGGAAATTGCTATTAATTAATCCGTACAAAATGACCTATTTGATGAATTATGACAAGCAATTGTCGGTTTTCAATGAATTTGGAAAGGAACGCTAGCCATGCCATTAAATGGAGTCACATGCGATTAGTTCAATTCAAATTGATAATATGAAGCGTATCTAGAGTTTTTAGCAATCCAAATTCAACGCAACACGAACCAACTAAAAGAAGTTCCACCAAAGGATTTGGCTCGACCGACCATGGTAATCATCACCTTGGTAACATTGTTCGAGCATTCTCATCGCATTATTCAAGTGAAAAATCCCATCTTCACAACAGACAAATCATTACATCGAGTGGCATTACATATTTAATTTTGATGCTGTTGTGCATTAAGTCACCCGAAGGTTGTTAATAAGGGAAAATGAATATTATCGAACTCGGTCGAAGGTTCGATACTATGAAAAACGCGCCCGATGAAAAGTTTAATTTCTATTTTCGAAATTTTGACGTGGATACATTGATTGCTTTAAATGGCAATAAAAATATTTTTCTTCATGGATTACTTATTAAGTGAAACCCAGAATAGCCGCATTTACAGAAATGATGTTGGTTAAACGCCTTCGATAAACTCCTTCAATATTGCTTAATCCAAAGAAAACATTCACGTATTCCATAATGAAAAATATTGAATAACAAGTTGTTATTAACAACTTGAGTTGAGTTGATGGTCAACTCCATGTTATCCAACCAAAAAAAGTTCGTAAACAATTCTGGTGAAAATTTGAAACGAAATCAAATATGGTTGCCCAGTTTCAAATTAAACGACGTAAAATCGAAATATCCTTTTCACCGTTCAACACTGAGCTGCTATAAATAAAGTAAACCAACTCAAGCACTTTATTAAAACAGTATCAGACATTATTGATTTTAGCTGAGCTCTTAAGTGAAAGTTACTGCGATACGTTATGCGTTCATTGTTCAAAATGCCATCGCATTTGTTGTATCAATACGAATTCCGAATGAAATCAGAATCATTATATTGTTCAATCGTTCGAAAACACTTCTTCAAGGATTCAAACGAAAATATCATTTTACTTGCTCATTTCAATAGTGATTTAATGAAATCTGTGTGCAGAAACGAGAGGACAAACATTTCTATTTGCAAAGGCGTGCGCTTAATCCGTTTACGCCCACTATTTCGATTTTCCACACAAACACAGAAAGCTCTATAATAAAAGTAGTTTTGATGCATTGAACCAAAACACGAAATGAATTCACAAAATCAAAACGGAATCTCATTCTCGCAAAAAAAAAAACCAGAAATTTTCATGCGAACACAGAGATAAGAGAACAAGTCAGGCAACTGAAAATTTATTACCTACATTTATTAAAACAAAGGCCACAATAGATCCAAAACTTTCTTGCATATGTGACTTTTTTATTGTTTCTTATTTGCTGTTATTGGTTAGACGATTTCATAAACGTTTTTGCGTTTCAGGATTTTCTACAATTATATATATATATATTAAATTTGCAAATTCAGTTTTAGTATTTCAAAGTATCGTTCGAATTAATATGCAATTCGAGTTTGTTTGTTTGAATTGTCACCATATCCCCAGAAATCTTGTGGTGATTGTGATTGGCATATGGATTTGTCTTAATTTAAAGAATCAATATTTCTGGGCTATTTTCAAATTGAAGATATTCACAAGAAACATAAATCACATAAAAACGGAATTGTTTGTAAAAAGTAAAGACAAAATTTCAAGTAAAGACAAAACTTCAATTAAAGACCAAAAAAGATTTAATGAAAAGCCCATATTTTGAATTAGTTTATAATTTTCGAATGGTTTTATGTCATGTTTTCCCTTTTTTGTTTTTATGTCATGTTTCCTCATTGTCACACACATATATGAGTGAATTTCGAATACAAGAATGCTATAAATTGTTTATTGAAATAACAAAAATTGTACATAATTTTCTATGTTTTGTGATTGCATCATCGCATTTTGTCCATGAGAACATTTGATTTAGATATCAAATGATATTGAAATTTTTTCTTTGAAAAAATCTCTCATTCAAATTATCCAATGCTAATTTGAATATTCTTTTTATTTTCCGTAAGAAACAGTAATAAATTTAGCAATAAATAGCAAGTTTCGGGTAGATGTTAAATACAAACAAAATGAAGCACAGTTTCTTAGATGAAACGAGATTTTTTTACGTCATCACTTCCCAATTATTTTCAAGCTAATATAATTCCTATAATTCTCTTCAAAATAAACAATATTTATTTATCAAATCGTATATAATTTATATACAAATAAAAGAAGCGCATACTCGAAATTGTATTTAAACTTCGTGCTACGTAAATACAGAACGAGTACGCGTTAAATACGTGAGGCTCTAAGTACAAGTGTTGAGTCCATCTTGACATCTGTCAGTGAATGATTGTGCTTCACAACGCAAATAGACGTCAGTTTTTTTTGTCGAATACTATGTAAAAGCAGATGGGCAAAAATTAGAAAATATTTGTTTTGTACTTCGACAAACGCAAAAAAAATTCTTATTCATATTGTGTTTTTATTAGTTGACAGTCGGCAATTATAAAAAATATATTTTGTCTGATAAAAAGTTGTATCGAATATTCAAGTTGAAAAGCGACGCCGGTAAGTGTGTACACATAGTTTTGTCAAATGTTTCATTTATACGTATACTATACGTAGGCACTTTTTTTATAACGTGTTTGATTTTTTTTCCTTTCACAGTTTGTTGGAAAAATGAGTGATAAAAATTCAAGTGATTCGAGTGGATCTGATTCCGATAGCGATAGTTCATCATCAACATCATCGTCTGGTTCATCCAGTTCATCATCGTCATCGGCATCATCTAAACACTCACGGTCAAATGAACGCAACGTATCGGTCGCTGAAAAAACTGATGTGACCAATAAATCAGAAGACAAACATGATTCACCTAAAAAAGAGGATGTGACCAATAAATCAGAAGACAAACATGATTCACCTAAAAAAGAGGATACACCCGAAAAAACTAATTCACCTGAAACGAAATTAAATCGGTCCAAAACGCCAGAAACCTCTTATTCACCATCGCCATCAAAAGCTCCGGCAGCCACCGATACTGTTGATGCAACAAGTGAGAATGGTGAAATTGTGGAACATACGCCGTCACCAAAACAAAAATCACCCAAACCACAGCGTAAATCCAGATCAAAATCAAAATCTCGCAGATCCAGGTCACGTTCACATAAAAGACGTGACCGTAGCCGAAGCGAACAAAGAAATCGTCGCAGTGGCGATGAGAGGAAAGATCGTAGCAGAAGGGACCGTAGCCGGAATGGCAGACGAGATAGGAGCAGAGATGAGAGAAGAGACCGTAGCCGAGATGAGAAAAGAGACCGCAGTAGAGATGGGAGAAGAGATCGTAGTCGCGATGGTAAACGGGATCGAAGTAATGACAGAAGAGATAAGAGGAGCGATGAGCGAAGAGATAGAAACAACGACCGAAATAGACACCGAAGCCATGAAAGACGTAATGATTTGGACAGACCACGTCGTTCAGATAGAGAGCGATCAAAAAGTAAAGAAATTGAAAATCCGGAAAATATTACAAAAAGACAACAAAAAACCGTTGATATATTAACATCGAAAACGGGCGGCGCCTATATTCCGCCAGCGAAATTGCGTGCATTGCAAGCTGAAATTACGGACAAAACATCGGCGGCATATCAACGAATTGCATGGGAAGCCCTTAAAAAGTCAATTCATGGTTTTATCAACAAAGTAAATGTGGATAACATTGGCATAATCACTCGTCAATTGTTCAGGGAGAATATAGTTCGTGGTCGTGGTTTGATTTGTCGATCGATCATTCAAGCACAGGCGGCTTCACCAACATTTACACATGTTTACGCAGCTTTGGTGGCCGTTATCAATTCGAAATTTCCCAATATCGGTGAATTGTTGTTGCATCGTTTGGTGATTCAATTCAAACGTGGTTTTCGACGAAATGACAAAACCATCTGTATTTCGGCCACACGTTTCATAGCGCATTTAATTAATCAGCGGGTGGCCCATGAAATTCTTGCACTGGAAATTCTCACTCTATTGGTCGAAACGCCGACAGACGATTCAGTTGAGGTGGCCATCGCTTTTCTGAAAGAATGCGGCATGAAATTACAAGAAGTATCGGCCAAGGGAATAAATGCGATTTTTGAAATGTTGAAGAATATTCTGCACGAGGGAAAATTGGAAAAACGCGTTCAGTACATGATTGAAGTGGTATTCCAGGTGCGAAAGGACGGTTTCAAAGATCATGTTGCTGTTACAGAGGCATTGGAACTCGTCGAAGAAGACGATCAATTCACACATTTAATTATGTTAGACGAAGCGACCGATACACAAGATGTGCTGAGTAAGTATTACATTAAAATGTCATTCATTAAATCAATTCAATCTAAATATTATTGTCATCATTCAATTTCAGATGTATTCAAATTTGATCCGGCATACGCTGAAACTGAGGAAAAATATAAGGGTTTAAGTAAAGAATTGTTAGGAAGTGATGTTAGCGATGATGATGATGACAATGATTCGAGCGGCAGTGATAGTTCAAGCGGTAGCGATTCAGACGACGAAGAAGAAGCCGAACCGGTGAAAGGCAACGATGTCATTATTGATGCCACCGAGACAAATATGATTGCATTGCGTCGAACGATTTACTTGACCATTCATTCCAGTTTAGATTACGAAGAATGTGCCCATAAGCTCATGAGAATGGAATTGAAACCGGGCCAAGAAATGGAATTGTGTCACATGTTTTTGGATTGTTGTGCCGAACAAAGAACATACGAAAAATTCTATGGATTATTGGCTCAACGATTTTGTCTAATTAATAAAATCTACATTGGACCATTTGAGGAGATATTCCGTAATACGTACTCAACAACACATCGATTAGACACAAATCGTTTGCGAAATGTTAGTAAATTTTTTGCTCATCTACTGTTCACCGATGCCATAAGTTGGGACGTATTGAATTGCATTCAGCTCAATGAAGAAGATACAACCAGTTCGAGTCGAATTTTCATAAAAATTTTATTCCAAGAATTGGCCGAATATATGGGCCTGGGCAAATTGAATACACGGCTCAAGGACCCAACATTACAAAATTCATTTGCTGGCCTCTTTCCACGCGATAACCCACGTAATACAAGATTTGCTATTAACTTTTTCACATCAATCGGTTTGGGCGGATTGACCGATGAATTGCGTGAACATTTGAAGAACGCACCGAAAATCATTCAAACATCAGCACTTCCAGAAAAAAAAGAAAGCTCATCGAGCTCGAGTAGTAGCAGCAGTAGTAGTTCAAGCAGCGACAGTGATTCCAGTTCATCAAGTAGCTCATCGTCAAGCAGCTCAAGCAGTTCGGACAGTGAGCCAAAGAAGAAGAAGAAGAAACGAATGAGCAAAACAAACTCGAAGGATAAAGGAAAATCACAAAAATCAAAGCAGGTAAATGAATAGGTTCCAATTTAAATAGCATTAGGATAGAGACAAAGGGACAATCATTAAATGTTTGTTATGATTTTTTTTTTCTAATTACAGAAAGCATTCGATGAGGAAAAGGATAAAAGCGACCCTCGTAAAGACCGTGCTCGGAACAACCATCGCAATGATGACCGTCGTATTGATGACCATCGCAATGATGAACGTCGTGTTGATGAACGTCGGACCGATAGCCGAAATGATTCTTCGCGCAAAAGAAAAATCAGTCGGTCCAAAGAGCGAGAGACCAAATCAAGACGATCGAGAGATCGGTCTCAATCCAAACGAGCTCGAAATCAATCGAAATCAAGACGGTCACGGGATAAGTTTCAATCAAGACGATCCAGAGATAAATCTCGAGATCGATCAAATCGACATGAACAGAACGGTCACAAACGCAGAAAAGATTAACATTGCTTTACCACAAAATAATAAACAATTTTCAACATCAATTTGTAGCGTCAACAATGACGAATAAATGCATTTTAAATTACATTATACTCTATTGTTTCATTTTTTAAAAAAAAAAACAATTGAAATTAAAACTTGTTCACTATGCATCTTTAACGTCCACGTCGTTTTTCTCAAAATCGGCACGAATTTCTCTTTCTAAATCAGTTCCTTGATATAGTGCTTGTCGTCGCATACCTTCTTGCACCTGCGCCACAAAGAATTTTTCCTTCGAATATGAATACCTGCGCCCAGATAAGAGAAAATACATTTGAATCATGAGAAGATAATCAATGTCGTATTTAAAATACATACCGGCAGTATGACCAATAGAACAGTGTTATCATTGTGTATGATCCCATCGCATAATTGCACGCCTGTCGTGGCCTTGAAGTTCGCATAAAAGTACCAATTCCGATGGCCACACCACCAATGATTCCATTTATAAAACTCTCTCGGAAACAGGTAATTTTGGAGAGATCTCGACCAAACAGAGTCAATGACTGCAATAAAAAATATATTACTTCACCAAATGCAACAATATCGTGCAAATTAACTCATTTCAAACTCACCTTTGGAGTATCTTCCACATCATCATCGAGTTCAGCCATAGCAAAATTTAACGGGAAACAATCAAGCGGGATACTATTTTCTGCTTTTTACAATCGACTTTGGTTTCAATTTTTCACATAACCAAAGTTGAATGTGACATTTGAATGTCAAAGATATTAACACTACTATTGAGGTTATGTTCAAATTCAAAGTATTATTTATGTCAAATGTGAAAAGAAAAATATTTTTATTGACAAATTTTTTATTTGAAAACTACAATGCAAATATAAGCAGTCTATATCTTTCTTCTAAAAGAACTCTTCTTTTTGGTTTTATGGGTGCTACGAAGCTCTTCGAGTTCATCTTGAAGCTGTTTTAAGTCTGTGTCTGGCACATATCGAATTTCTTCATGAATATCCGGTTGATGTTCAACTACTTTCAATGTTACACCTTCTGGCAGGGCTGCTTGTATCAAACGTAAATAAACTGGATAAAAATTGGCTGACAAATTGTATACCTATATGATGGATGATAAGATGGATTTGTTCATTCTAAAAATTGATTCAATGTAAACAAAAACCAAGAACCATTCGGTTTGCATGGTATTAGTGTCGACCAACCTGCATGTTTCGTTCGTAGATTTTCAATTTGAATTCACTCTCGACCGTCTCCGAGTTTGCTTTCAGCTTTGTCACATGTAAATCCTTTGCTGGTACCGCCCAACTAAACAAGAAAAGATATTTTCGTTTATAGTTCAGCTTTGTTTGGAAAAAAATCCATTTCACATTTACCATTCAGAAACATCAAAATCATACGAATCGGCCGTTCGATACAAAAATCGATGAAACGATTCCAATACAGCAAAATCGTAGCCAGTTATTTGGAAATTAACACATGGATAAATTGGATGTTTTGGTTTTAACGCCTGAAGAAAACAATTCGATTGATGTAGTGAGAGCAACATTTTTCAGTGAAAATCATTTTTTATAACTTACATCCAAATAATCTGGTTCAAATAAATTACTAGCTTGCCGCACCGAATTTGTTTTCAATTGTGAAGACAATAGCCTAGATAAATTGCCACGGAATAAATTATACATTTTTAAACAAAAATTCTCCAGAGAGAAACAGGCTATCACACATTTAGTCGGTGTGGTCTGTCTAATTTTTCAACTTTGACAAGTGTGACACTTCAATGTGATTTGACATTACTTCAGACTAATGATTGTTATTATTTTTTCCCAATGCCAATGTGCTTTGGTTGAATGTGATTTTTCTTATTAAAGTATTTTTTTCTCATTTTTTTAATTAATTTTTTTCAATGATTTATGAATACATTAATAATGTTGGTGAAGTTCATTTAAACTTTCATCGGAAAAATTGAATATGCCTCGTTGCTCAATGAGTACGGCCAAGCATTATCACTATCGTGTGATCTTTCACAAATACTGTGAACGTATAGGAGTAAATGCGTATTTTAAGCAAGATTAGTTAGCTAGTAATACCCGTCGAGACTACATCGTACAGTGAATTTCAATATTTTTTACAAACGAAAGAAATACATTTTTTGAGGTCAATTGGTGCAGCAAATACAGTGCATAGAAATAATATCATATTTATATCGGAAATATGCCACCAATGCCGCCGAACATCATATCAGATGGTGATTTGAATTTCCAGAGAAGTCCGCTAATTTTCTACGTCAACGGAAAAAAGGTGATTATGTGTTTGAAAATGTGCATTTTTTTAAATGTCAAATTCATATCAGAACACACTGGTCATAAATTTTCCATTATTTTGGTCTTATGCTGGTCGAAATTGCTTTTAGTCTATCAAAAATCAATTTGAAAATTAACATCACCGTCATCATGTTTACTAATCAATGTAGTCTTACTGATAAAACTCGACGTACGTGTCATAGGTCATACAAACAAGTTTCTTCCTCTATTTTCGAAAAGATAATTTTAATTAACGCATATTTTGATTATTTTTGTCCTCTTTCGTAATCATCTCTGCGTGTGGTTGAAGCAATTGAAATTGCATCGAAACAAAAATACTGTAAACATGTGCATTGTGTATTTCATGCTATATCAAGAAGTCTTTTCATTGCAAATCAATTTCAATCTATCAATGTGCATTTGTTTTGATAACGCACATTCGTAATGTTTTCGATTATCGTTTTTCTTATTGTTACTCAATCAAAACGACAACAACAACAACGACATTTGTTTCTGTAACTTTCATTCAAAAGACGCAATTTCGTTCAATAATCATGCGAATCGATAATAATACGACATATACGAATAATGCACATGTGAGTGTACTATTATTTATGGTTACGCCTAGCAATTAGTAAATCAAACAAAATTGATTTGTTGTTAAGCTAAAATTCCTCGATATACTTACCGCAAAAATAAAAAAATGGAAAAAAACAATGATTCGTCCGTTTATTGAATAGAAATGTCTTGGTGATAAATTCAAATGATAGCTTAATAAGTGGTTGAAACTTCAAACTCTCCTTCTACAAATTCTCCATTAACATTTGCTCTTGATGAGTCTCTCATTTCTTCAATAAGAAGCCCTGCCATTTCTCTTCGCTGTTGATTATAATTGATGGCTATCGTGTTCATTTTTTGATAAGCCTGAATTAATAGCTCTTGTTGTTCACATAGTTCTTTCGTCACTGGCTCTTTTTGTGTAACAATTCCCTCCTTATCATTCGCTGTTAAAACGTCATTCAATGACGTATTAATTGAATTCATGAGTGGATTTATTGTTTCTATCAATTCATTTTCGGTGGTGATCTTCATTTCGAATTCGCTATTGAACTCTGCATATTTTGGTGCCATCGATTTAGCCTTTCTTCTCATTTCTTTAATATGCTTTCTGGCAACCGGATTTGGTCGCCAACACTCAAACTGATCGTCAAAAATCGGCAATGTATCTTTGAATCACATATTTGTTGATACGTGAGGTAATTGTACGCCGAATATCCGCAATTTTATTCAAATAATTTTTTATCTTGGATTTTCTCTCGTCTAAAAGATCACGGGCATTTCTTCCAATAATTCTAAATGACTTTGGAACTTTTCGCAGTATACAATCTTTAGATTTGTTGTCCATATTACTGATATGGGAAGGAACCATTTCAATGAAATCAATTTCATTTGAAAGTCCATGCATGAAATTGAAATGAGGTCGTAGATTGATTCCCTGCTTATCCCTGATTTGTCATAAAATGTTTCAACTAACATCGAAAATGTCACGTTCTCTATGCAATTGATCACCTAAACATGCACAGAAATAAAAAATCTAAAAGTAGAAGTAGTTTTCCTTCAAAAAATCATACCTGAATGCATAGTAGAATTGAAGACAATGATAAAATTGAAATGGTCTTCATTGAGCAATACTTTTTAGATCTAAATAAAAGAAGTGAAAAGAATACCGTTTATATATACAGGGTGCGCCATAATAACTGTCCCTTTTTTTCAATCGTTTGTTTTAATACTCAAATGTCTTGCGATTCACTCTGTCGTTTACCGTTATGTTTATTGGTGTTTACTCTAACTCTAATGATACTGCGCATTTATGTACAGTGTCTGTATAGCTTGCGATAAGAATGGATGTGAAACGTCAACTGGTACTAAATTTGCACAAACGGGGCTTGAGACAAATTGATATTTTTCGACAGCTACAAAATGAAAATATCAACTTGAAATTTGTAAAGCGCACAATAAAACGATACAAAGAACGTGGCAGCGTTGATATATTGAAGAAAACTGGACGAAAAAGATCTGTTCGTACCAAAAATCTCATCAAACGAGTGAGAGAGAAAATTCGCCGAGAACCTCGAAGAAGTGGACGAAAGTTGGCTCATGAGCACAAAATCAGTGAAACTTCAATGCGACGAGTTTTGGCAGAAGACCTGAATATGAATCCATTCAAAAAATGTCGACGACATGGTCTCACAATCAAAAATAAACAAGCCAGAAAGCAAAGATGCAAAGAGTTGTTGCACCGGCACGCAAACTCAAACATTGTTTTTTCAGATGAAAAATTGTTCCTTTTACAGCCAAGCCTCAATTCGCAAAAATGATCGTGTGTACGCAACATCAATCCTTGATATTCCCGAAGATAAAAAAACCATCGAACGATTTCAAAATGTTCCACAATTGATGGTTTGGGCCGCCATGTCGGCCGACCACAAATTTCCACTGGTTTTCGTCGAAGAAGGCGTAAAAATCAATGCCAGAGTATATATTCGAGAAATATTGCGTAAAAACTTATTGCCACAGTCTCAAAGACTATTCAGAGGTGAACCATGGGTATTTCAACAAGATGGTGCACCCGCACATCGTGCAAATACGACACAACAATGGCTACGCACGAATTTGCCTGATTTCATTGACAGAGGCTCATGGCCGCCATCGTCTCCTGACTTGAACCCGCTCGATTTTTTTGCTTGGGGATACATGTCGTCGAAGCTCAATGATCTGAAAATTACGAAACGAACCACTTTGGATGCATTCAAAAAGAAAATAATAAAAATTTGGAACGAAATTCCCATTGATATGGTGCGTGCCGCGTGTCAATCGTTTTCGAAACGTTTGCGTTTGGTAATCCGAGAAAAGGGGGGAAGAATTAAAGTCAAAGGCTGAATCATAATCTCTATACCTCATTCTTATATCGAATAAAATTATATCTCGATTTGATTCAAATTTCTGTGTTTTTTGGCTAGAAATAAAAGGGACAGTTATTATGGCGCACCCTGTAGTTCACTTTCACACGTGGATCGATTTGCTGTGACGCAAATTAGCAAAAACCACGCCAACTTCTTTCAAGAATTCAAAAAAAAATTTCATCACTTCGTGAAAAAAGTTTAATTCGGTACGAATGTGTTATCGCACATACCCTATGACTACTTCGCATCTGTTGATCGACTCTTTTTTAAATTTCTTTAAGAAATGTGTAATTTGCCAATTATTTGATATAAAATTTTCCATATCATTTCGAATCTTCAACAAACCAGGTAGTGGAAGAAAATCCAGATCCAGAATGTACGCTATTGACGTATCTACGTGAAAAACTTCGTCTGACCGGTACGAAACTTGGATGTGCTGAGGGGGGATGTGGTGCATGTACCATTTTGGTATCAAAGGTTGTAAATCGTGAAACACATGAGCTAAAACATTTGGCAGCCAATGCATGTTTAACGCCAGTATGTGCTGTTCATGGCATGTCAGTGACAACGGTCGAAGGAATTGGCAATACTAAAACAAAATTGCATCCCGTTCAAGAGCGTATCGCTAAAGCGCATGGTTCACAGTGTGGTTTCTGCACACCAGGGATTGTAATGTCGATGTATGCTCTGCTTAGAAGCACACCAAAGCCAACAATGAAAGACATGGAAATCGCCTTTCAAGGGAATCTCTGCCGTTGTACCGGATATCGGCCAATTATCGAAGGTTATAAAACGTTCACCAAAGAATTTGAGTGCGGCATGGGCGAAAATTGTTGCAAAAATAAAAAAGGTGCCTGTTCGAATGGCGAAGAAGAGCGCGATGAATTGTTCTACACCAGTCAATGGGCTCCACATGATCCAAGCCAAGAACCGATTTTTCCACCCGAACTGCAACTCTCCGATGCGTTAGATAAACGCTCAATTGCATTTTATGGAAAACGTGTCACATGGTATCGGCCAAATAATATCAAAGATTTATTGGTGCTAAAGTTACAGCATCCGAATGCAAAGATTATCGTTGGAAATACCGAAGTTGGTGTCGAAGTAAAATTCAAACACTTCCATTATCCGGTGTTGATAATGCCAAATCAAATACCAGAAATGAATCACATTGATATTTGTGAGGATGGCGTTGAATTTGGAGCCTCTGTTACATTGATGGACATTGACAAAACATTTTCACATCTCATTGACACTCTGCCTGAACATAAAACACGATTGTTCAAAGCGTCAGTAAATATGTTGCACTATTTTGCCGGAAAGCAAATTCGAAATGTAGCGGCGCTTGGAGGTACAATGCTATTTTTGAACACACTAATAATAATGCAGTAAATCATAGAAAACTCAATTAATTTTAGGTAATATTATGACTGGCAGTCCAATTTCCGATATGATTCCGGTTTGTTCAGCTGCCGAAGTGAGGTAAATTTAGTACATCGGTATTTCTATGCTTATTTTAATGACCTCTTCAAAATTTATTCAACATTTAGGCTACGGGTTGAGAGTATTTCACGTGGATTCCGTTACGTTAAAATGGGAGTCGGATTTTTCACCGGTTATCGTAAAAATATTGTTGAACCCGATGAGGTGCTAGTGTCAATTATGTTTCCATATACGTCTGAAGATCAACATTTCCTAGCATACAAACAGGCCAAGCGACGTGATGATGATATTGCAATTGTGAATCTCGCTTTGAATGTTGAATTCGAGCCGGGCACAAATCAAGTGAAAATGTTAAATATGGCATTTGGTGGAATGGCACCAACCGTGGCAATGACACCAAAAGCTTGTTCGTCCGTTATTGGTCAAACTTGGAATGAAGATCTTGTGGAGAAAGTTAACAAAGAATTGATAAACGAGCTCCCATTGTCACCGAGTGCTCCGGGTGGTAATATTTTGTATCGCAGATCTTTGACATTGAGTCTCTTCTTCAAAGCGTATTTGGACATTGCACAGAAACTTGAACAAAAATCAATTGCAGAAAGTAATATTCCGCAAGCAGAACGCTCTGGTGCAAATATCTTTCACACACTCATCCCACAGAATACTCAAGTTTATGAAAAAGTACCTGATAATCAACCGAATCTAGATCCGATTGGACGGCCCAAAGTGCATATGAGTGCATTCAAGCAAACTACCGGCGAAGCAATCTATTTGGATGACATGCCAAAGTGGGAGAATGAATTATATTTGGCTCTGGTGATGAGCACAAAAGCGCACGCAAAAATTCTCTCCATCGATCCAAATGAAGCACTGAAAATGCCAGGCGTTCATCGATTTTTCGATGCAACAGATTTGACCGATCACGAAAACGAAGTCGGTCCGATATTTCACGATGAAACTGTTTTTGTGAAAGATAAAGTTACATCACAAGGTCAAATTGTCGGTGCCATTGTGGCTGATAGTCAATCGCTTGCTCAGAAAGCAGCAAGAATGGTGAAAATTCAATATCAAGATATAAGTCCGATAATTATTACCATTGAAGATGCAATAGCACATAATTCATATTTTGGTCCACCGAAGAAGATTGAACGGGGTGACTATCGCAAGGCATTTGCTGAATCGGATTTTGTTGTTGAAGGTGAATGCAGAATGGGCGGTCAAGAACATTTCTATTTGGAAACACATGCAGCTTTGGCCATTCCACGTGATGCAGATGAATTGGAAGTGTTTTGTTCGTCGCAGCATCCGAGTGAAATTCAAAAACTTGTCGCTCATGTATGCAATATGCCAATATCGAAAGTTGCAGCCAGAGTTAAGCGAATGGGTGGCGGATTTGGTGGAAAAGAATCAAGAGGAATGTTAGTTGCTTTGCCAGTTGCATTGGCAGCTAGTCGTATGAACCGACCCATTCGATGCATGCTTGATCGCGATGAAGATATGCAAGTGTCCGGCACCAGACATCCTTTCATGCACAAGTACAAAGTATCATTTAACAAGGACGGCAAAATTACCGGATGCAAAATTAAAATCTACCAAAATGCGGGATATTCAATTGATTTATCTTTTTCCGTAAGTATATAAATGGTATCATCAAAAACTATCTATATTTCATGTCATTTTTTAAAGGTAAAATGGTTTTGGTGTATAAGAATGGGGAATTGACCCTCCAAAAATGGGGAATTGACCCCCCAAAAATAGGGATGCCGTCAAAAATGGTGCGTTTGGTTGTGACAAATGGGGTATTGGCTGTCAAAAATGTAGCTTTTGGTTGTCAGAAATAGAAAAATTTGGCTGTCAAAAATGGGGAAATTGCCCCCCAAAAATGGGGAATTGGCTGTCAAAAATGCGTCGATAAAAAAAAAACGAAAAATATGTGTAAAAATTTCTTTAAAGTAAGAAAAAGTAATATTATTCGATGCAATTTGATACTTTAATTACATTATCTTTCTTATGGTTTTTTGTCTTTTCTTCACAAAGCATGACGATAAGGCAAAATTGCTTGCCAGCGCCACCAAATGACTCCATATGATTCTATATAGTTCTGCGGTTACCAGCGGTACTAATCTCTAATAGAGCGTTGCCGAGCTGTCATTATCGTCGTACTTTGTTTCTTCATTTCGTTGTTTCATATTGTTCCCCCGCTAGGGCTATCAATGATATTCAATTATTCTTTGTTCCATCTGCTCGACAGCCAATTTCCCATTTTTTACAGCCAATTTCCCATTTTACTTTTTCGCACACATAGTGTAAGGTGAAAAGTATTGTAATCGGTCAAAATTTTGAAAACTTCAGAAACATGTTTTCTGGACGTTTCTAAGGTCAGAGAACCCGAATCAGGCCGTTTTGAGCATAGTTTTTGTTAATCTGTACGTCGTACGTCGTCAAGATTGCGCTCATCGTAGAAACTTAATTCAAAATCTGACTTTACAGGATGATTGGGGGTCGCGAGGAATAGAAATCATTAGCTTTTGAGCGACTTTGGTTGATGGGAAAAAATTTCATGCCTGGAGCGATACCTATAAAAAAGAGTCCAATTTTCGTCCAAAAGTCATACTTAATGTAGACTTAAACATTCAAAAATATGTATTGGGAGTTTTTCGGCACGAGAAAACCAAATCCGAAGCTAGTTTTGAGATACAATCAATTTTTGATACAGTTTCCTTGAAAAACCGAAAAAAAAATGAATTTTTGTATGAGAGTCGTACAAATGGGTTCATCTTGAAAGTGTGAAAAATCTTTTCTTGGCTACTTCTGCTATTAAATTAAAGAATATTTCGTTGCCAAAGTTGGAACATATTTTTTGGTCTCGAACTTTACGCCGCTTGAATGGCTTGAAAAATCGAACAAATGTTATTTTGAACTTGCTCCCCATATTTGACAGCCAGTTCCCCGTTTTTGGCAGCCAAATACCCCTTTTTGGGGGGCAATTTCCCCATTTTTGACAGCCACATTTTCCCACTTTTGGCAGCCAAAAGCTACATTTTTGGCAGCCAATTACCCATTTTTTACAACCAAATGCCCTATTTTTGAAAACCAAACGCACCATTTTTGACAGCCAATTCCCTATTTTTGGGGGTCAATTCCCCATTTTTGGGGGGTCATTTCCCCATTTTTGTCAGCCAATTTCCCATTTTTGACACTCGTTTACCCTTTGCCTCTTTTAAATTCATATCATAGGTACTCGAGAGAGCAATGTTTCACTTTGAAAATGCGTATCACATTCCGAATTCATGCGTTCTTGCATGGTCTTGTAAAACGAATTTGCCATCGTGTACGGCATTCCGTGGATTTGGTGGACCTCAAGGCATGTTCGCAGGAGAACATATCATACGCACGGTTGCTGAAACATTGGGAAAAGATTTTACGGAAATTGGTAACAAATATTCAATTTAAATCGATTTGAATACGTTGTCATGAAGATTCTTCGTTTAATTTACAGTTGAAAAAAATTTATACGAAACGAACCACATAACACACTACAATCAAATGTTGACTAATTGCACTGTACAAAGGTAAATTCCTTTCAAGATTCAAATTTAAGTTAAATTATTTAACCAACTAATCATATTGTCAATCTTTCACCAGATGTTGGTATGAATGCAAAAAACAAGCCGACTATGAAAAACGTAAGGCGGCCATTGATGAATTTAATCGTCAGCATCGTTGGCGAAAACGTGGTATTTCGATGGTGCCAACAAAATTCGGTATTGCATTCACCGCATTGTTTTTGAACCAAGCCGGTGCACTGATCCATATTTATTCGGATGGATCAATTTTATTATCACATGGAGGTACGGAGATGGGTCAAGGATTACACACAAAGATGATACAATGTGCATCAAGAGCATTGGGTGTTGATGTTGAACGTATACACGTTGCTGAAACGGGCACCGATAAAGTACCGAACACTTCAGCGACAGCTGCCTCATCAGGTAGCGACTTAAATGGCATGGCAGTGATGGATGCGTGTGAAAAGCTAAATAAACGCCTAGCACCAATTAAAGAAAAATATCCGAATGAATCATGGAATCAATGGGTGTCAAAAGCATACTTTGAACGGATTTCACTTTCGGCCACTGGTTTCCATGCCACGCCAGACATTGGCTATGATATAAATACAAATCAAGGGATGGCTTTCAATTACTTTACATATGGTGCTGCATGTTCGGAAGTTGAAATCGATTGTTTGACTGGCGATCATCAAGTTATTAGCACTGACATTGTAATGGACCTCGGATCAAGTTTGAATCCAGCCATTGACATTGGTACAAATTTCGTTATACACACGAATGTTACATTTATTTCACAATGGAATATTTCTTTTGATTTCAGGGCAAATCGAAGGCGGTTTCATGCAAGGATATGGTCTATTCACACTTGAAGAGATGGTGTATTCACCGACAGGAATTGTGTTCTCTCGTGGACCCGGTATGAATATTGATTATTGAATGGGTTGTTGTTGTTTTAGACCCAATTTGAAACTAATGTGTCTTTTTTTCGTTTCATAGGTGTATACAAAATTCCCGGTTTTGCTGACATTCCTGGTGAATTCAATGTATCATTGTTGAAAGGAGCTCCAAATCCCAGAGCTGTCTATTCATCAAAAGCCGTTGGTGAACCTCCACTATTTTTGGCATCATCGATTTTATTTGCCATCAAGGAAGCGATTAAGTCTGCACGACGAGATGAAGGCGTAGATGAGAAATTCAATTTAATTTCGCCAGCAACTGCAGCCAGAATCAGAATGGCGTGTCAAGATCGATTCACACAACAGGTAGAAGTGGTTTTGTTTTCATTAGTATCTTTATTAAATTGAATTATTCTAATTTTTCTTAAATTTCAGTTTCCAGAACCTGAAACAGGGTCATTTGTTCCATGGAATGTTATGGCGTAACAAAAGTTAAATATTCATTTGAAATTATTTTGTTATTTTCAAATAAAAACAATTCTTAAAATCTATGTGTGTATACATTTTAATTCTAAAATGCGTTCTTCATTTACATTTTGATACACAATAAACATAAAATTTAAAATAACGAACAAATCAATTCATTGTACTATATATTTCCAACAATTTATTCTTTTTGTTCACGAAGTTCGATGAAAGTCAGCGATGCATTCGATGGATATGCTGATGTCTCTGTCTTCATTTCCATTTTCAGCTGTTGTTGTCCATCAAGCTTGTTCTTCAGTTGTTCTTGAACACCATACATCTTTTTCAGATTTTTGTCATATTCGGGTTTTTCGTGCCAAAAAACCCCCAGTACCAATCTTCCTAGCAAGCGAATTTAAACAAATTTTTCAGAAATATCATTTCAAAAGAAAGGTCTCAAACAGAAAAATCCAAAAACGAAAAAAATGAAATGTTTATATTTTAATTCATTTATCGACCAATTGTCATGAAATTTTGTCTAGATCATTTTTTTGGCAGAAAATTAAGTTAACCAAAGTTTCACGACGATCGGATTAAAAATAAAAAATTTCAATATGACAAATTATCGACAATTGTCATTTTTTACTTACTTCTGTGAAAATGTGAAATTTGAGCTATGTTCATTTATCGACCAATTGTCATGAAATTTTGTCTAGATCATTTTTTGGCAGAAAATTAAGTTTCCCAAAGTTTCACGACGATC